AGTTTTATTAAGATCGGCTTAGTATTTTATGCGTAAAAGAATGAAAAAACATCCATCGATCTAACCATGAATCCATACTCACTTAGTTCAAGTTCNAAACGTAGATAATTTTCATTGCCGTGTGGTGACGGCAGAGTAGAATACATTTGTCACCAACCCCTACTCTTCCCGCGGGTGTCGTAAGAGGCGACTTAGGGACTACACATCAAACAGAGAATGGGCAGCAGCGCTCTCTGAAAACATCAATCTTTTAAACTGCGATCTCCAACCCGCCTGCCTAGCGTGGAGATTATGGCAAAACCCTCCACTATAGTGGAGGAGGCTCATAGTCCAGCAGTGGACTGTAAAGGGCTGTTGATGATGATGATGATGAATTTTCATTGTAATTGGTTAAAAACTTAATTGTTTGTGTACAGATAACAGAAAAATAACCATACCTATAGAAATTCCTAAACACATAGTACACCAGATAGACAAAAAACCATACAAAAAAACTTTGTGCAGAATGTGCACTATTATTTTTAAGATATTTATTTTTTATTTAAAAATAATAATGACTAGTTAAAGCAGTAATTTCATGATTTTAATACAGTATACCATCACGTAATATGTGACTATTTTAAATGAAACCAAAAATATCTAAATTTTAATAATTCCAAATTAAAATTGAATACATTTATATTTTTAAAGAAATAAGTACATATTGTTTTAACCACATAGATAAACCTTTTTTTAAGGATACTACAAATAGTTTTAACCATAATATTCATGCCTGAAACTTAAAAAATGTTACAAAATACATGCCGGGACAAAATTGACCCAGCGGCGCTTTTAGGGGGGTCGTAATCTTCGGCACTTCTAGTGTTAACGCCCGTATTCACAAATGATTCTTGCTTAAATGAAGCAGCATATCGAACGCACAGAGCTCTGTGATTCGTTCGTATGTCACCCTGTTCGTCCTCATAGTAATGTTTTGCGAATACGTGCGTTAGAATAGTCACAGACTTGAAACGAAATTTTAGTGTACAGTTGACTGACGTTTAAAAATAGAGTCTTCAGAATTTATGTTATTCGTAGAGAGATATGTAGTTAAAAGAAAAATAATTGACTGAAAATTTGATAAAAACAAAAAGCCAAAGTTACTATGATATAAAAATATTCCCTTTTACTTTGTGAAGTCAATTTGCTGATTCGTTGCAGGTTCAATTTGTCGCAGAAAGCAGACATTCCACGATGTCTGCTTTCTGCGACATGTCATTGCCAGTGCTGAATACCGATCTGACAATAATAGAAAATGTATCAAATATGTTAAAAACTAAAAAAAACTCATTAAAACTCATTTATTTCTGTAAATAGGCTTAAAAAAAGCACTTTTACACGTCCCAGTATTAACCCTACCACTGCTTCAGGACAATAAATGGGCCAGTGCTGAGAAGAAGCAGCGCAAGAAACTCAGACACTATTGTCAGCCTCTTTTTCAAAGGTTTACATGCTTTAAAATGTACAAAGTTATAAATATTTATGCGAGCTAGGCAGTAACGTATCCCAAACATTTTTATCTTTTAAATAATCATCGACTTTATAGTAGCCCTTTTTCATTAAGGTACTTTTAATATGTGCTTTGAATTTATGAATGGGTAGTTCTACAACGGTTTGTGGTAATTTATTAAAGAATTTAATACATTTTCCCATAAATGAATTACCAATCTTATGCAATCTGAAATTTGGAACGGCAAGTTTATTTTTGTTTCTTGTATTAAAGTTATGCAAATCGCTCTTTTTCGTGAATTGCTCTATATTTTTGCGGACATATAAAAGGTTTTCATAAATGAACTGTGAAGCTACTGTCAGTATGTTTATTTCCTTAAAAAAATCTTTCAAGGAAAATCGGGGTCCAAGGTTATAAATGGCCCGCACTGCTCTCTTCTGCAGAACAAACACAGTTTCAATGTCCGCGGCTGAGCCCCACAACAATATGCCGTATGACATTATACTATGAAAATAGCTAAAATATACTAGCCTTGCCGTTTCAATGTCAGTTAATTGCCTTATCTTTCTCACTGCAAAAGCAGCCGAACTGAGCCTTTTTGACAAAGTTTCAATATGAGGACCCCATTGAAGTTTAGCATCTAAAGTGATTCCCAGGAATGTTGTGGAATTTATGCTATTTAATGGTTCATTCTTCACCATTAATTGCGTGTATGTGTCACAATAACGTAAAATATTTTACAGAATCTTATTTATTTCATCAAATAAGCTGAAGAAGAGTTCATAGTCTCATTTGAAATCCCATAAAGGTATTTGAGAGCAAATACTTTGTTATCATCATCATCATCACCATCTCAGTCATAGGACGTCCACTGCTGAACAGGCCTTTTTTGCGTCAGGGAAATGCTTTCCATGTTGCCCGGTTGCGTCCAGCGCCTTCCTGCTATCTTTATGATGTCGTACTTAAATAAATACGATGATTATGTGACTAAAGCTCAACCCTATCTTAGGAAGTAAATATACTATAACAACACAGCATTTCGTACGGCTTAATTGAAGCCTTCTTGACAGTGAGTGTTGTTTACATAAACTATGTAAGTACTCCGAACAATGCCGTATTACGAAGATGTAATTGGCAATTATTTTAACAATGCTGCGGGCTGTTTGGTCGGTTAAGAGTGAATGTATACGTAGGGAGCCTCCGTTATTACGTATGACACAACACCATGCAAAGCTAATTAAAGAATTAACTTAGTATTCATTATCACTGATAATATTTATCGTAATAATAACTCGTTCGTTCGGTCGTGAAAGCAATATTTACATTATTTTCCGAATATAATATTTTATTTTAAATTAATTTTAGACTGCAATATCAGGAAAATTGTCAATTTAAGTATAATATTTTATTTAGCTAATTAAAAATGTCTACCTACCTAAATACGTATACTGAAAATTGCTTGATGTATCACACAACACTATATAGGCCACTAAACAAACCTACGTCGGCTATTGACTTCTCTTAACCTAAGAAACTGATGAAAAATTAAGTTTGAAGAACCTCTGCAAGTTTCAAAATAAGCAACGAACCGCAACTGAAGTTTGTAAACTTCTGCTAACGATAAAAGCTGCCGAGCTTTTAGTTCTTCACAATGCCGCACTCCACCCACTTTTAAAATAATAAAATAATAAAAAAACACGATGAATTATTAAAAAAATGTTATTAATTTTAATATCTTTCAGCATTTTGGGTAGTATTTCTGGGGGGAAGTTTTCTGTGCACTTATAACTTAATTTTGTAAATACCTAGTAGAGTTCAATTTTTATTGCACCATACGAATATCTTGTCATAATAAATTTATCATAAAAGAAACTTACCAAAAACACACAAAAATAATAATAAAACCACAACACGTTCACTGTGACTGCCGTTACACTCGCGAAAGCGCGCGCGCCTCTTTCCGCCAGCGCGTTCGGACTGCGCCGTCGCACGCGCCTCCCCAAACGTCGCCTATGGTTACGTGAACTAGAGTTGCATAACCGCCTGATCTCCGCTAGCCACAGGAATAATTATCCCTAATGATTCTAGTAATTGGACAATAGATAGCGGACATTTTGGGCATTTTTGAGGCATAAGTTGGCGTGTCACGTTGCGCCGCCCGCCCTCAAACGCGAGAAAATGTAACAACATTAAATCTAGTGCAATTTTGATTATGTGTTTATGTTTCACACGTCCTATAGTTATACAGTTTGCGCTATCAATAAGACCCCGCAGACTGCATAATTTTAGTTGGCCGATAGTTTCGCCGGGCTGTTAATCAGTATGAACATGAAGCGCGTACACTACTCAGATTTGGTATAGGCCGATTCCTCGTACTAAGGCTGAGTTGCACCAACTTAGGCCCGCCATACACGGACAGCTTGAAGCAGCTAGTATCCGACAGCTTCAAGCTGCGACTGCATAGCAAACAACAGTACACTACGTACACACATACTCGTACATGGAACCGCTCGAGAAGTTACAACTATTTCCATAGTTTGCAATGCAGTCGCAGCTTGAAGCTGCCGACACTAACTTCTTCAAGCTGTCCGTGTATAGCAGGCCTTACTTTAACAATAATCGGTGTTTTTGTATGGAATTTGACAGATTTTTGACGTTTGTTAAAGTCAAAGTAAGATGGTGCCTAAGTGGAAGTCGACCAAACTATCGGCCAACTAAAACTCTGTAGTTTGCAGGGAGTCTAACACATCGGTTGGATACAGAAGCAATAACGAAAGTCGGTCTCCTTTGACGGACTTTTATGTATTACAGATAATACAACTTAGAAGATGTACCTACTCGTACCTAATAAATCCCAGCTTTATCGAAAGCCCTGTAAACATTTTCTTAATAATAACAACATGTAATTTAAGTTCATGTACCTACACCATATTACGCGGCATCGCTGAGTATAAAATTACTCTTGCTTTGATATTGAATTTTGTATTAAATAACTAATTAGTATCATAATAAGTAGGTATCTATGTTTAAATGGAGAAGTCGAACTGATATTACTCGTATTATCATAGCGATACGCGGAGTATGAAAATAGCATGTACTGCGTAATGCACTTAAGTAAATAAGTACCTTAAAACGAGCCCTTTACCAATATTCAGGATAAACTACTGAACGTTTGAAAAAACTTATTAAAAAAGTTTTATTAAACCAAGTTAACAATGTCATTTACTTAAAATTTATTTCAGCTTAGTCTTAGTTTTAAGTATTATGTATGATGTATGATTCATTGTAAGTATTATGTAAGGTAGTCCTGAAGAAAGGGCCTAAGAATTATGAATAAAGCCTACCTACACAAACCCAAGTATTTTTTTTTTTTTTTTTTTTTTTAGTCTGGTAGCTTACCACCAGATAACCAGAGATAAATGTAGATGTTGACTTTCTCACTTTGTAGNTTAACTACCTTAAAGACCGCACCGTGATACTTAATTATGCCGACGCCAGTGCCACCAAAACGATGACAAGAGGATGCATCCAGGGCTCAGTCTGTGGACCGAGCTTCTGGAACATCATACTGGATGAGCTCTTTGAACAGAAACTACCTCCGGGCTGCTACCTGCAGGCATATGCAGATGACGTTCTGTTAATCTGTACAGCAAAAAGCACCTCAGAGCTTCAACAATACACTAACGCAGCACTGGAAACAATAACATCGTGGGGTGAAGAGGCAAAGCTCACTTTCGGGCCATCAAAGACCCAGCTCATTGGCTTTACGCCAACAGCACGAAAAGCCCTTATTATTCATCGTGGCACCCAACTGCAATTTCAAAATAGCATAAAAGTTCTTGGCATCGTCATAGACCAAAAACTGTCATTTATAAAACACATTGAACATACAGTTTGTAAAGCTCTAAAAATATATCACACTCTATGCTTTGTCCGTCCCACGTGGGGAATCCACAGTGAAAATATCTCAATCATATATAAACATGTTATAGAACCAATAATTACTTATGCAGCGGGTATCTGGGGAGATGCAGTCAAATATAAAAAGGTCTGTAAAAAATTACTTTCCCTGCAACGTGGTTTCGCTGTCAAAACGATACGGGGCTTCCGTACTGTCTCCACTATCGCTTCCATCACACTCGCACAATTTACTGCACTAGACTTGAAAGTTCAAGAGGTATACACGGTAGAACGTGCTAAGCTCACGGGCTGCTCTCCATACCTCTCTTCAGATATAAAATTGCATAAGCGCACACCACCAACTAAACTTGCTCACCCTGCCACTAGACAAGGTATACAATTTTCTTCAGCATATGTCCAAAATGACATCGATAGACTTTGCCCACCTGACAGCACCAAAATATTTACTGGCGGCAGTANAGATTTTTTTCAAAAAGTATAATTTTTTATTATTTGTTGGCATTTTTTGTGTATTTTATGTATTTTTTTAGTATCGCCTGTTATTTAGCATTATTACTGTTTTTATTTTATCAGGATATACAGCTTAGTTTAAAAGTTATTACGTTTTCTTTACAATAAGTAATTTGAAGAAAAAAAATTCTGTAAAAAATTAAAAAAAAATCTCAAAAAAATTTTGACCTCTTTTTTGTCGATAAAAATAGGTCTAGTTTCATCTATTTTCATATGTACACTTTAACGTGACTCACACTGTATAAACATGTTATAGAACCAATAATTACTTATGCAGCGGGTATCTGGGGAGATGCAGTCAAATATAAAAAGGTCTGTAAAAAATTACTTTCCCTACAACGTGGTTTCGCTGTCAAAACGATACGGGGCTTCCGTACTGTCTCCACTATCGCTTCCATCACACTCGCACAATTTACTCCACTAGACTTGAAAGTTCAAGAGGTATACACGGTAGAACGTGCTAAGCTCACGGGCTGCTCTCCATACCTCTCTTCAGATATAAAATTGCATAAGCGCACACCACCAACTAAACTTGCTCACCCTGCCACTAGACAAGGTATACAATTTTCTTCAGCATATGTCCAAAATGACATCGATAGACTTTGCCCACCTGACAGCACCAAAATATTTACTGACGGCAGTAAACTGGAAAATGGTGACGTTGGCGCAGCATTCGTTATCTATAAGCCGAATGATGCGCCCATAATTCAGAAACTTAAACTACACAATAGCTGTACCGTCTTCCAAGCTGAGCTACTAGCTATAGAACGCGCTGTTAGATGGGTCCAAGATTCTAATATTGAAAACGTAGCCATTTTCTCTGATAGTCTGTCTGCCCTACAGGAGTTAGAGAATAAAAACACTACCAACAGTCTTGCAACAAAAACTCATGATCACTTGCGAAGCCACTCTGGAAACGTGAAATTTGTGTGGGTTAAGGCCCATGTGGGTCTCGAAGGGAATGAAGCAGCAGACGAAGCTGCGAAAAGTGCTGCAACTTCTCACCAATCACTCGACTTCGCGAAATTCCCAATCAGCCATGTCAAACGACTCTCACGCGAAGCTAATAGGCTTTGTAGCGAAGAACGTTACACTTCTTCTACTACAGGAGTGCGCACTAGAACTTGGCTTCCAAGCCTGGACAGTGTAACAAAACTATATGCAATAGTGAAACAATCGTTCCACTTAACTCAAGTCCTTACCGGTCACGGCTATCACCGGCAATACTTACACCGGTTCAAGATAGTCGCGACCGATAAGTGCAATTGTGACCCCAATACTGTCCAGGACATTGACCACCTCCTTAAAGTATGCCCAAGATATGCCCGGCAAAGGGAGACACACATAGCCTTGTGTAACCATTTAGATGTGTCTCCATTTGACATACCTGAAATNTAAGCAGGAATGTACACGAATGACATGAGAGATTAATCTTCACATCTAAAAGCGAGATATGTGAATGGAAAACTCGATTGACAAATGTGTGAGGCGCTGTAGAGAGATAAACTTTTGTATTGAGCTATTAGTCAATAGTTAATATAGTAGCTCCGCTATGTTGTACCCACTGCTTAAATAAGATTACATGTAAAAGTTCCCATTCAGATTTTTGCACCGCACATTTTACTCGTACTTCTTTAATGAAAACGAACCCGAGAACAGGTTTCACGCAAGTAATTTGAATACAATTAGTCTCAATGTAATTGTTTTACCTTTAAGTGTAACTACTTATTATTCAATTTGACTCTGAATATTATATCTTTTCCAATTTGCTGAATGTTACTCGTTAATTACGTCACTGGTAACAATTAGGTAAGTAAAAAAGTATTAGAAAATTGTCATAGCTGTCAGATATCGTTGCAGATAATGATATCGTCCCTTTATTGATAAAACCGATTCATCGTCATCATCATCATCATTTCAGCCATAGGACGTCCACTGCTGAACATAGGCCTCCCCCAATGCTTTCCACGTTGATCGATTTGTAGCGGCCTGCGTCCAGCGCTTCCCTGCTACCTTTACGATGTCGTCGGTCCACCTTGTAGGTGGTAAAACCGATTCGTTCGTTTCAGCCAAATGACGTCCACTGCTGGACAAAGGCCTCCCCCAAGGTTTTCCACAATGAACGGTCCTGCGCTGCCCGCATCCAGGCTCTTCCCGCGACCCTTACCAGATCGTCGGTCCACCTAGTAGGAGGCCTGCCCACGCTACGTTTTCCAGCCCGTGGTCGCCACTCGAGAACTTTCCTGCCCCAACGGCCATCGTCTCTACGAGCTATGTGCCCCGCCCACTGCCACTTGATTTTAGCAATTCTGCGAGCTATGTCGGTTACTTTGGTTCTCCTACGAATCGAAGTCTTCGAGCAGTGTGTGTTGCCAGTGTTGACATATGGATCCGAAACGTGGTCGCTTACTATGGGCCTCATAAGAAGGCTCAAGGTCACCCAAAGGGCGATGGAGCGGGCTATGCTCGGAGTTTCCCTGCGTGATCGAATCAGAAAACCGATTATCTATCGAAAATTAAACTTGTGGCAATGATGATATAGAACACTATATCATCATTTCCACAAGTTTTGTTATGATATAGAACATTATATCATCATTTGCACAAGTTAAGTTTCATCAAACAGATACGTATACGATCCAACCTCTACAATAAATGAATTGTATTGAAATATCAATGATCAATACAACATTTCTCTAACTTTTTCAAAGCAATAAAATTTATATTTGCCAACGTCGAAGTGCACGAGTAACTCAGACGCCAGAACCGAACAAAATATTATGGCAATATTCAAAAAGTTTTTTTGTAGACCGCTAAACAAATAACAATGGAACTTGCCAATAAAGTGTACCTATGTGATTTATCTTATTATTATCAACTCCGTGTATAATAATTTACTAACCAGTGTTTCTCATTGTAAGTGAATGTATTTTCTGTTTTGAGAAATAAATGCCTTAAACCGTAATAACGAATCGTGTCTTACAGAAAGTGTCACATACAATATTGGACATGACAGCATTAATAATGATTTTTGCCAGAGGGCGCTCAGTCGGTGTTTTGAGTGACACTTGGGAAAAATACAGGGTGGCACGGGGATATCTTTGTCAATTTCTCCAAACGGTGTTGATTTTCCTTGTTTGACACGTGTTTGTAAATATGTGGTGGTGTTTTTGACATCTCGCAAAATGGTTACGTTAAGTACCTATTTTAAGCGATTGAAATGCTGTAACTTAGGTCGTAACCCTTGGTGTCATGCAGTGCCATATGCGTCCGACATAGTTTAATGTTGATTGTCTTTCTAACCACATTATATAAGTATTTACAACCGCCTGTCCATTGTCAGTGTGCTTTCATATGACTAAAGGCTTAGAATTCTTTTGTTGCGAAAACCTGCCTACAGGGTTTGACAAGGGTCGAATACTAGATAATGTTAGTTTTTGAAAGTTAGGACTATGCGTGGATTGACGCTGTCCAAAACAGTGAAACTTGCTGTTTCACTGACTAAAATGTTTATTTGGTATTTACGGTTTGAAATATATTAGTGAGAGAAAATTGAAAAGTATTTAGACAGAGAGACTACACAATATCTGAGTTTGTCTAAAGAAAAACAAATACTTATGCAAACCTTTGCCATTTATGAAATATGTAGCTTTTACTAATAAAACCGCATCTAGTTATTTACATTATAAGTTATTACTTCTATAACTCTATTAAAATTTGAATATTTTAAGTACTTTATAAAAAGGTTTCGATCTGAGTCACAGAACGAACTGCGTCTTGCTTCTTATTTCTTTAACCTTTAACACAATACTACGGTTAACCTTTAACTACTGACGTGGGGGGGGCCTCTCAGGCCCTGAAAAAGTCAAATTGTTGAATTTCTCCTCTCCCACGTGCACGACATACGCGAATCTTTTAGTACCTTCGAGTTTCATTGCGCCGAGGCTGTCAACAACTGTGCACGTGATTGCACACGCAATTTCAGTAGGTAAATTAATTTTAAAGTTTCTTGTGGGCCTCTCAGGCCCCCACCTCAGTATTGGCGTAACTTTTTTTGTCTATAGTTTTCATTAAGTTGTCGTCTTTTCTTGAAATAATTTGAAAAAAATTATAATATGGAGCCCATAGTACGTCGTCCGAGAGAAAGCGGTATCTCGGAAGTAAAAATAACCAGCATTAAACGAAAAATAGAAGAACAGTAGTTTTGGCACGTATGTTAGGAAATGATATGCCTGTACCTGTCTATCAAGATTTAAACGATGAAACCAAGTCCCATACATGTCTTTTGAAGATTCAAATGAAATCTACATTTTAAAAACATGTATGGCTTCCTTTACTGAGCAAAGCAAGTTTATCCAGACTGTGTTTAATTCGCACTATTTGGTGTGTGTAATTCTTTTCCCCCTTTTTCATATTAGGATTACTGATATATCATTAGCTAAAAAGACTATTGAAAATTAAGATTCTAAGTTGATTTGTTAATTTTATGAATATTTTCTATGATAACTTTATGAATCAGAGTTCATGAGATTTTTGCCATAAAATGCTACATGTTTTCTAAATATTGAAATAATACGTACTTATTAAGAAATAATTTACATAAAAATCGTTTTATTGTATTTAAATATAACCACTATTAATAATTATTAAACATAAAACCCTAAAAAGATTATATATTTTTAAATATAAGCACACATATGTACGGGCCTCTCAGGCCCCCACGTCAGTGTTTACGTGAAATTAAATCCACCTCAGTAGCTAAAGGTTAACCTTACTATTTGTCTCGTTAGACACTGAGTAATACACAGCAGCTATATTTGGAACAAATCATTGCAATTTTGGACCATATTGACAGGTTGTCTACGATCACAAAGAGTAAAGCACAAAGCTCGACCTTCCGACGGCAATTACATCGCTTTCTCCAATCGGTGAGTCGACACATCGCTCATCCCACTCTGGGTTAGCCAAACAAACGCGTAACACCTATCGTTTTCTTGGCATAATGCCTCAAACTCAGAACCGAAAAAACGTAAAAGAGCGGACAGTCAAAAACGTAGGAGAAAATAAAATTTACATAATTTATAAAACTGAACTAGTTGTGCCACGCGGTGTTACCCGCGGTAAAAAGTAGCCTATAAACTCTAAAAAAATTTTGTTGCATCAAACAATATTATTGTGATTATTGCGACCAAGTCTCTTGACTCCATACGAGCCTATCAACACGTTAGATACATCAAATAAGATGGTTTTGATTACTCTTACTGTTGTTACTTTATAAAGTTATCTAAGATCTTGTTTAATATTAAGTAGCATGATAAATTACAATACTAACTAACTCATCTTGATAAACATTACTTATTGTTTGAGCTAAATAATTAAAAATAATTGAATCAAGCAAAAAAATAGGTATCTAAATTATAGAAAGGACGAATAAAGGTACGTGTTAGAATTAATAAGAGTGCCTACATGTTTAAATCAATCACAGATGAAAATGTTATTCTAACAATTTAGTTTTGATTGATTTATGTATTATTATAATTGTTTTATACAATTTACTGTCAACCAAGAGAAAAACGCTCTTAGTTGGCCTTCATTTTTTAGAGTGTATGTTAATCCAGGGTGTCAGCTAGCTCCATACTATTAAAATAGCTCCAACCGTTAAGACGTGAAGTAGTAACAAACACCTACTCACAAACATTCGCCTTTATAATATTAGTGTGATGCCCATTACAATATGACGGTATTTGGTTTACAATGCATTTAATTTTCATTCAAAACTTTTACCATAGCATTGCACTCTCGTAGGTATAGCAAGTTTGTACAGTTTGGCCTCCGATGAAACCTCATCAGCAAAGGTTGAGTAGTCCCTGGGGATACCTTACTGCTTTGGATCCTGATACTGCGAGGCTTTCCTGAATATCTCTGAAAATGAAAATGAAAATAAATTAAATATAAAATTACCACATTAATTAACACCATCAAACCTATCCAACGAGTAAAGGGATATCAGATTACTAAATTACCGACAAAGAAACATTTATGAAATACCTTTACCTAAATAATGTAGGTTCATTATTGTCTGTAGAAAATATTCATTGTCAATATTACCATCCGGTTATTCTCTTTTGTTACCGCCAAAACGATTACTTAAGGCGCTTGGCTCAACGCAATCAACGTCCTAAATTATAATTCCTTTAATCTATACTTACTTATAATAAATCTGTAAAGAGGTCAATTCTGTACATGAAATATATTTTCAAAATAACTATCAGGGGGTGATTAGTGATTGATACTGAGGCCAAAAATGCAATAAGTAAAATTTTTGTCTGTCTGTCTGTCCGTCTGTATGTTCCTTATAGAATCAAAAACTACTAGACGGATTTTAACGAAACTTGGTA